CTCTCTTATCCAGTACTCGTTATGAGTCCCGCGCATAGGGGCAGGATCGTGACGAAGTAATCTGTACACGTGAAAGTTCTTGTTGCCGAATTCTTGGAAGAGGGTGGTAGATGAAGGTGGCGGGTGGCGAAGCGAGAGGATTGTCATCACTTTGCGTTTAAAGCGTGAACGCCACGGTACGCTTTTCGGGACTTTGGGTCGCAGGGCGGGGCCATGGAACGCGACAGCAGTAATTGATGCGAACGATTGCCCCGTTCTCCATTGTCGGTGTTGTGTGGTGCTACATATGCATGTCCTTGGTGTGCATTTCCATTCAAGTCCTGGCCTCCCCCCCCCTGATCACATCATGTCCGGTGTACCTGGGAGGCACGGACCAGCTGGAGCAGCCAGCGGTGCTGTCGCTGTTTGGTCATGAGCATTAGTTCGGGGGGATTTTTGTCGGGTTTGATAACTTTTTGGTGTACGGAATTGCGGTACGGTATCTTGCGGCAGTGCTCCCCACGGCGTGCAGAACCTTGCCTGCGGAAGGCGAACAGTGTCTCGTGAATCAGCCGAGAGAGTAAGAAGGCATCGCCTCATTACGCGCGCAATGTGGCGTCACAACATGCCAGTCAAGTGGTGCCGAAGGATCGAGATAGTTTTTAATTGTATGCGATACGACATGGGATGATTTCTCACCACGTCCCAGTCAACTAGTGCCAAAGAATTCAGATAGTTTTTACTTCGATTTTTTTTTTACGAAACGTAATTGAATGGAAAGCTTTCATTGCTTAGCGATAATAGTCTACCCATCCTGTCTGTGCTGCTTGCACCCCCCCTTGTTGTTTCGAGTGTGCTTGCCCCCCACCCGTGTTTTTCAATACGACCGACAACACGACGGGAACACGGCTGACGAAGACGACGTGGCGTTTCCCGCAAAAACAAATGGCCTGGAGCACTCGCAAGTCTTCAGGGTTGGCCCGGCGGTGTCACCGTAACACCCACCACCCCGAAGTCCGTGTGTCTCAAAGGCCGTGAAAAGGTAGCCTTCGCGCCCCTACGGAGAGCGACCAGCGGCCCCCACCTTTGTCCCAACTCGTAATATTGCCTAAAGTTACCACAACCACACAAGGCCAAACGCAGAAATCTGGACACGATAAAATCGCGGAGCTTGCCCAAACGGGTGCCGCCGTATGCATACGAGACCATTTTTTTTCTTTCTCCACACCGTTTCTCGGATGTTTTTGATTGTGATACTGGTTACTACCCCGATGGTAGCAGTTTGTTTGCCCGTGCGTGTTTTCGTTGGGGGCGTTGACGTAAGCGGCGTTTTCCCAACCAATGCCGTAGGAAACCATGTGACCACATGCTCTATGGAGAGATAGGGGCATTGCGCGTTGTTACTAAATACCCGGATCCGCGCCGCGTACGTTTGTAGAAGGCGGTCTTAAGGCTATCGATCGGACCACTATCGTGTCCAACATTGCCAACTTTCGCTGATAAACGGCACACATGTAACACACACCTAGCACGACGTTGCTGCCCGTACTACAATTTCGCCTTAGCAAAAAGAAAGACGAGGGAGTACGAGGACACAACGAGGAAAAAACATTGGCCGGCCGACGGCCTCCCGGTGGCAACAAAAACGTCAATCAGGATGGAAAGCCCATGCACAACCGCCAACAAACCAAGAGAGAGGTATCATCTGAGTACCGGATGCTTCTCTTCCTCCCTCTCTCCCTCTCTGTCTCGATCGATCGGTCGAGAAGTTTGGCCTACTCTCTCTGGTAGACGAGTGCCCCAAGAGAGAAAAGGTTTGTGCGGAACGCATTTTTGAAATTCTGCCGCAGGTGTGTTGACCAATCAGCGAACTGCGCGACCCCAGTCGTTTCTCTCGACAAACTAAGTTACAAACAACGACGGGTCACCAAGAGTGAAACAACAGCAGGTACAGCGGCGTACAACACAACACCAACAATGTAAACAGCAAGCACCCGCAACGGAAGAGCGAAAAGCAGGCTGTCGGACTCTGTTGTTATTATCACCACCCCCACTCAGCCCTGCATTCCGGGTTCGTTGACTTCGCGCCGCAGAAAACTGCAGCAGAGAACTTCTGTCCCCACACAAGGTATTGTAGTAAGCGAAAACTAGACGTTGTTGATCCCAGGCCCGTTGCTGGAGGAGGATGCCCCCCCCCTGCCTCCCCCCTGCTGCGCCTGGTCCCCGCCAAACATGGAGAAGAGCGCATTCCGGAGGCCCACGTTCCCCAGTGCTGCTTGCGCCCCCTGCATGGCCCCCGCCATCATACCGTCGTTCACCATCTGCTGCACCTGCAATGTGTCGTCGAGTTCGTGCGTTGGTGGGTGTGTGGGTACGTAGGCCGTGGGATTGGAAAACCAAAAAGGAGGCGGGGGGGGGGGGG